CCTGTTTGTGAGCACAAACACGAACGGGCTCACAGCACTTTCACAAACTCCCACTCCCACATAGCTCAAGGGCTGGTAAATGGGTGAGGAGCTGAGGTTTTAATGAGCAGGGAGGTCAGAAAAGCAGCTCTGGCCAGGAATGGGAGGGCTCAGGAGGAAATCTTGGGAAGAGCTGCCAGGGAGCGCGTAAATAAAAATTAAACCTTAGTCAGGAACCTGCAGCCAGGTCAATCCAGAGTTCAGTTTGTCAGGTTTGTCTCTGAACCAAGAAGCATTTCATGTTGAATCAAAGTTATTTTCAAGCTTTCTGCTATGTAATATTTTAACCTCCCCCCAGAAAAAAAAACAACAAAAAACCCCCCCAAAACCCCAGACATGTGCCTGAGCTCCAGGAATCGGCTCTTCAGTTCATCCTCCTGCACAGTGCCAGCTCCTCTTGGGATGAATGACTTGGAAAGGCAACTTAGACACTGCAGGCATTTTTTCAGCCCTTCTCGTCTTCAGCCATAAATCCAGTTCTCAGATCAAATCAGGAACAACTGAATGGAACCCAGGGGAGGGATGGGGGGAGCAGCCAGAAGGTCCGTGCACATGAGAGTCCAGAGGGAAGCGGCTGCTGCTTGAGGTCACTCTGCTCTCTGCCACCTCACCCCCAGCTCCCACCCCTAAATCCTCCCCACCCCTAAATCCTCCCCACCCCTTGTCTGCTCCACAGTCTGTGCTCCTCCATCCAGCCACCCCTCCCTGGGCACAAGCAGAGCTCAGGGAACAGCAGGGTTAGGACAACCTTGGGTACAAACCTGCCCTCAGGGCTCTCCTGAAGCTCTGGAGAGAAGGGGCAGGTCCCTCCTCTCCCCCAGGGTGACCCAACCACCTTAAAGGGACAGCCCAGCCACCCAGGGCTGTGATCTGAAGGTTTATTTGTGATATAAGGGATTATTTGTGTTATATGGGATTGTGTTATATGGGATTATTCATGTTATATGGAATTATTTGTGGTGTAGGGAATTATTTGTGGTATATGGGATGTTTTGGAGCATATGGGGTTGTTTGTGTTATGTGGGATTATTGCTGCCAGGACAATGGGACAGAAAATATGATCCTTACAGGAGGCTGAAGTTTGCCAGTGCTGCCTCCAGTTTCACCAGTGCTCTTGGGAACTGGCTCTGCATTCACACAAAGTGCTTCTGCTGCTCCGAGAAGTCATAAAATCAAACCAGTTCCTGCTGGTTCCTGCCTGATGTGAGTGAAATAAGTGCCCAGCTATGTATGGACGTGACTGCCTGACATCTCCTGTGTGCTGTGGGCACAGATCCCACCGAGTTTCACGTGGGTGTTGTTTTATTTCAGGACATCTCCACGTCATGGCACCAACGTGCAAACGTGCCATTACCACAGGGGCCCTGGGTGACAGGCCTGAGGGCTCTTGTCTGACCTGAGGGGAGCACCCAAACCCCACAGGAACACCCAGGGACAGAGATTAGGCAAGTGGTGGAAAAAAGCAGGTCCTGTCACTTGGAATTAATGATGGTGGAGGGTACCTTGCCCAGCTTCTTCTGGGCCTTTGTCCCATCCACCAAATCACGGCCATGAAATTGGTTCTAACTTTTGTCTGCTTGGGGAAAAGGAAGTTGTGTGAGGTTTGTGGAGGTCTGTTGGGGTTGTTCAGGGTTGCTCAGGTCCACCCAGACGTAGTGCCAAGGACAGAGCTCAAGGATGATACCCTTGAGCACAGGGTGTGACTCTCGGGGATGATCCTGTGCAGGGCCAGGAGTTGGACTCGATGATCCTCGTGGGTCCCTTCCAGCTCAGCAGATTCTGTGAGTCTGTGGTTCTGTGACCAGAGCTGCAGTTTGGAAGGGGAGCTGAGCTGTGCCCAGAAGACCCTGGGCTGGTGTGTGTGGGCAGTGGAAAGAGCCAGGATGGTTGGACAAACCTTTTGAAAGTAAGAGGGGCTGTAAATCATCCTGTCCAAATTTGCTCTGAGACTTCAGCAGGTGACTTTCCCTCATGTCTGGGGACTTGGAGGTTTTTTCTAATAGGAGTCGTTTCCTACCAGGGTTCATCTGTGGCAGCCAGGCTTGGATGGGATGGGTGACACAGCCTGAACCAAGGCCTGGGTTCCCTCCATGAGGGTTCCTTCACTCACAGCTCTGTGTTTGGAGAGGAAAACCATCCTGTTTATAACAGAACACCCCGTGTAGGCAGCTGGAAATTTTGTGAGAGCTCAGATGTCACCCATGGCTTCTGCCACCTCATTTTCACCTGTCTGAACAATCTGTTTGCTGTGATGTTCTGCTCCTGGACTTTCCAGGAGAGGGAGTCACCATGTTTGGGTGCAGCATCCTTGTACCTCCCTGCTGTTTGTCCCAGGTGGGCAGTGGAAAGTGGCAGCCCACGAAGAAGGCCACGGATCTTCCACTGCTCACTCAGCACTTCCTCTTCAATGTGATTCATGACACTGCAGCTAAACCCAGTCCTCACTCTCACATCCTTCAGTCCCGAGACCAGGCTGAGGTTGGGAGGACCTGGTCACCTGAGGGAAGAAAGTTTGGGAACTAGGTCTGGGAATCAGTGCCTGGGCTGCTTGGATGCCTGGAGGCATCACGGGATTGGGATGTTTGCTTTGGTCCCGAACACCGACTGCAATCTGAGTTTGAGCCATGGGGTGTTGTCCTTTGTGTCCCAGACTGGCAGCTCTGCCAAGACCCTGCTCTAATCCATTGGATGGATTTAGGAAGGGGTTCCACGTTTGTGCTGTGCCTGACAGGGTTCCACTGGTCCCTCACCCAAGCAGTGAACACCACTGTGGCTTCCTGTTGTGGTTTCCTGCCTCGGCTGAAACGCCTCCTGTTCTCCCTTCCTGTTCTCATCAGGGCCATTTCGGGGCTTGGTGGAGACAACAAACAAATAGGTACAGAAGGGTCTGGTTGCCACAAATCCAGCTCCACGAGAGTCTTTGCAGAGCAGGGTTGGTTCCTGCTCAGCGGTTTCCTCCTCACCCTTATCCCGTCCCTGCCCATCCAGAGCACAAATCCAGGCGACCCCTTCCCAGCTCCAGTGATCCCAGTGGCTGGCAGGAGGCAGCCCTGCCACTGTGGTGCTGAGAGGGATGAAGGAGCCTGGGTGAGCCCCAGCAGGGCTGACCACCAGCCCAGACACAGCTCCAGCCACACCTGAGAGCAGAGGCCACAGCAATGGGCTCAACCCATCGGGTAGTGACTTTTCCCCCAGGTTTCAGAAATCAGGGTCAAACTGGGAAGAACCAAAGCAAATTGCCCAAAAAACCAGTGTCCTCTCCACTCTCCCAGTGTCTGCTTTACTCTGAACACGAGTGACGTGCCTGTGGGATGGGGGCGACCGCTCTGACCTTTTTTGGGGTCATCGTCTGCGCAACGACAAAACCCACAATGAGGCTCCAGGGAACAAATGAGACCCTTCGGATCTGATGATGTTTCCATTCATCACAGCTAATTGGCCTCTGTCAGCACCCTCTGGGTGGGATTCTGGATGATTCAAGATAGAGATATAGGACTTGTGTAGATACAGAAGAAGGGGCTCTGCAGTGACTCGGTCAACAACGTGCCCCTTTCTGCCAGTTGGGATCTCTGACCAAATCAGCCAAGTTCAGAAACCACCAGAGCCAGGTATTGTGGGGAAAAAAAAAAACCAACACAGATTGTTCAAAGGACAATTAGAGGAAAATTTCTTCATGTTCCCATCCACTGATGGTTGATGTCTGCCCAGAAGCACTTGGGCTTATCTCTATCTCCTCGTGCTGTGTTTGGTGCAGTCGTGTATCTAAATGTTTCTTAGACATCTCGTGTTTTAATCTTACTGCATTTAAGATTCTGGCCTCAGAGACCTCCATGACAAAACTAATTTACTCAGAGAGGCGAAAGAATTTCCTTTTATTGTGAAAACGGGGCTGGAGAGAAAATGGTAGGAAGTCAAGGCTGAAAACGTTGGGATGGATGTGAGAAGCACTTTTTTTAATGTTGAAGATAATTAACCATTGGAGTGATTCACTGCAGGATTTGGTGCATTCCTTATTGCTTGGAGTCTTTAAATCAAGCTCAGATGGGTTTTGCTCATACTTTGTAGCTCTATTTAGGGCAGGGTGGAGGAATCATGGGGTGCTGTGGGTGGGGATATGGATAGAGTGTTTATTTAGGAAGAGGTGCTGACCTTCTCAGCACGTAGATGCAGTGAAAGCACCTGAACTAACAGTTCTCTCCTGCAGTGCTAGAACATGCAGAAAAAGCAAAGGCCATAAGGGATTTCAGCTTTTTCATAGGGTATTGGTCAAAGTCCTGGGTGTGGGGTCATGTTTTTTCTTTTGTTTGGTTTTTTTAACATTGTAAAGTAACATTTATCCCTGATGTTCATCTCCACAAGAGGTTTGAAATGACTTCTCAGAGAGTCAGATGAGGGCATCTTGACAAATGAGTCTTAATTCCAGCTAACCATTTTTGAAAATTGTGTGTCAGTGAAGGACACTCAGGGCAAGGAGGCTGGTGAAGGGACTGCAGCACAAGTTCTATGAGGAGCAGTTGAGGGAGCTGGGGGGGCTCAGCCTGGAGAAAAGGAGGTTGAGGGGGGACCTTCTCACTCCCTACAACTCCCTGACAGGAGGGGGGAGCTGGAGGGGGGTCAGGCTCTGCTCCCAGGAACCAGCAGTAGGACAAGAGGGCACAGCCTTAAGCTGTGCCAGGGGAGGTTTAGGTTGGACATCAGGAAGAAATTCTTCCCAGAGAGAGTGATCAGACACTGGAATGGGCTGCCCAGGGAGGGGGTGGATTCACCACCCCTGGAGGTGTTTGAGGACAGACTGGACGTGGCATCAGTGCCATGGTCTGGGTGACAAGGTGGTGTTGGGTCAGGGGTTGGACTCCAGGATCTCAGAGGTGTTTTCCATCCTGGCTGATCCTGCGATTCCATGAATTTTCTCTTCCAGCAGCGCGTGAACCCCCCGCAGGAGCCCCAGCAAGGTGCCGGAGATGCCGGACGCCGCCGCCCACCTGCCCTTCTACTACGGCAGCATCGCCAGGTCGGAGGCCGAGGAGCACCTGAAACTGGCGGGGATGTCGGACGGGCTGTTCCTGCTCCGGCAGTGCCTGCGCAGCCTGGGCGGGTACGTCCTGTCCGTGGTGTTCGACCTGCAGTTCTACCACTACCCCATCGAGCGGCAGCTGAACGGCACCTACGCCATCCTGGGGGGCAAAGCCCACTGCGGGCCCGAGGAGCTGTGCGAGTTCTACTCCAAGGACGCCGACGGGCTGTGCTGCCCCCTCCGCAAGCCCTGCAACCGGCCCAGCGGGGTGGAGCCCCAGCCCGGGGTGTTCGACAGCATGAGGGACAACATGGTGCGGGAGTACGTGCGGCAGACCTGGAAGCTGGAGGTACAGGCCTTTCCCGGGAGTGGGAATGGGCAAGGGGGTGCTCACGCCCTTCTGCTTGAGCCCTGACCCCCCCTCGTCGCTGCCACCCTGCCGGGAGTTTTATGGCGAGGAGATTGGAATCATAGAATCATAGAACCATAGAGTCATAGAACCATAGAATCAGAGTCATAGAACCATAGAATCATAGAATCATAGAACCATAGAATCATAGAGTCATAGAGTCATAGAATCACAGAATCACAGAATCATAGAACCATAGAACCATAGAACCATAGAGTCATAGAACCATAGAACTATAGAATCACAGAATCATAGAATCACAGAATCATAGAATCACAGAATCATAGAACCATAGAACCGTAGAATCATAGAATCATAGAATCATAGAATTAACTGGGTTGGAAGAGACCTCTGAGATCATCAAGTCCAACCCTTTGATCCAACCCCACTGTGATTACCAGATCACGGCACTCAGTGCCACATCCAGCCTCGTCTTAAAAACCTCCAGGGACAGTGGAGGACCTCTGGGCAGGTCATTCCAATGCCTGATCACTCTCTCTGTAAAGAACTTCTTCCTAATATCCAACCTAAACTTCCCCTGGCAGAGCTTAAGCCCGTGCCCTCTTGTCCTACTGCTGATTTCCTGGGAGAAGAGACTGACTCCCACCTGGCTACAACCTCCTTTCAGGCAGGTGTAGAGAGTTCTTTGCTTTCCTGCCTAAAGCAAATTTTAGGTGTTTTCTCCTCCTGCGTTCCAGGGAAACTTTCTCTGGTGTGAGGAAAGGGAGAAGAACTCACAGACGTGCTCAGGGCCTCTGGGGTGGGGAGGGCTGGGGGGCCAGAGATGATAAAAGCTCTGAGGAGAGCAGGGGTGGCTCTTTTCTCAGAGCACCATTAGGATAATTTTCTTGGAAGTCCAGTGTCCTTAGCTCAGGAAACAAATTTTCCCACAATCCTTCCACTGCCTGGCATTTCGAGGGTCCCTGTGTGTTCTCCTGCTTCACAGCCACTGCCATCTCCCCCTTGCTCTTGCAGCACCCCCTTGTTCTTCCCCCCTCTAGAAAAAGGCCCTTCTTGGAGGCTGCTGGCACTAAGAGCAGCCTTAATCCCTCTCTTTCACAGCTTCTTCTTCAGAAGACGCTCAGAAACATCTGTCTAAACATCTGTCTAAACATCTTCCCAAGCCTTCTGGAGGCAGAGCCTGCCAGAGCTCAAGGAGTGCTTGGATGATGCTCTGGGGCACAGGGTGTGATTCTTGGGGATGGTCCTGGGCAGGGCCAAGGGTTGGACTCGACGGTCCCTGTGGGTCCCTTCCAACTCTGTGATTCTGTGACTGCCCCTCTGAACACCTGGAGCTCCTTTTGCCAGCATTTCCCCACGTATCCTTCTCTCCTCTGCAGCCCATGGGATGCTCCCTTGCCTTAGACCAGTGCTCTCCACGTGAAACACCTCTAAATGTTGCACTGAAAATGGAATGAAACCAGAATTAGACTTTTCCTCGGGTCTTCCTCTCTTTTTGGAGTGGAGTCTTTGCCAGTTGGAAGGTTTTTTTGTATGTGGAGGGTTTTTTTTGCCTGTGGAGCTTTTATCTATGAGCCTGAGGTAGCTGGTACTGGATCAGGTTTATCATTTAAATTTAGACACTACAACAGCAGTATCTAAGTAACTATAGCCATGTTCCTGTATTTTATGGCAGATTAAATTATATATAATACATGAATAAATCAAAACTCTCTAAGTGGTCCCACTGGTGACCTTGTAATTAATGTCCTTCTACCTCCTGTCACCCTGACAGTGGCTACTCAGACTCTTACAAGTGTCATTTTATTGTTTCATTGGAAGGGTGGTGGTGAAAGGTGGTGGCATCACCACTCCTGGAGGTGTCCAAGGAATGACTGAACGTGGCACTCAGTGCTCTGAGCTAGTTCACAGGGTTGGAATCGGTCAGAGGTTGGAATAGTTGATCTTGGGGGTCTTCTCCAACCTAATTGATTCTGTGATTCCGTATTTTGATCCAAGTCCTGGCAAAAATACAGCTCGGGCATCGTCCTTTCTACAAAAGCTCTCTAAATCTGGCCTGTTTTAGAGCAAAGGTATTTGACAGAATGAGGTATTCCGTAGGGTTTCTATAAGAGAATGAGGAATTCTGGACCAGAATGAGGTGTTTTGTGCCAGAATTCTATACCAGAAGCAGGTATAGAATGGGGTTTCTCCACGAAGCAGATGTGTGGCCACTGGCTGATAACACAAAGGACATCGCCACCTCCTGGCAGCGAAAAAGAACAGTTTAGAGCAGGTGTGAGCCCAGGGAAATGAACTGAGGGTCCCCCACTTGATTTCCAGACTGAACTGGTCTTGCCAAGTCCTGGTGTCTGCAGCTGGTGAGCAGCCAGGAAGGCGGAGGTTCTGCCCTAAAGAAAATCATGGAATTCTGGAATCTCCTGAGTGGGAAGGGACCCACAAGGATCATCCAGTCCAACCCCTGTCCCTGCCCAGGACACCCCAACAATCCCCCCCTGTCCCTCAGAGCGTTGTCCAAACGCTCCTGGAGCTCTGGCAGCCTTGGGGCCGTGCCCACTGCCCTGGGGAGCCTGGGCAGTGCCCACCACCCTCTGGGGGAAGAACCTTTCCCTGAGATCCATCCCAACCCCCCTGGCACAGCTCCAGCCCTTCC